ACTGCGAAAGGCATGCGATCCACCGGCAGCCGCATTTCTTGATTCCGCAAACCACGGCGTCTTTGTCGTCGGCTTCTGACCTGGGCCACAGAAAACATCACGATGAATGACGACGATGCGTAGACTGCTCGAATCTGCAGTGCAACTGCGAAGCTCGATTTTTCTGCGATGCTGAGCCCCAAGGTCTGCGAAATATGGTTCATGGCAACAAGTCCTGCAGGCTGACATTATTTGCCCACAACTGCGAATACTACTACGAAATTACTGATATTTAGGCTTCATATTGTGTTCAGATGTTTGTACGGCTACAGTAATGTCAGCCTGCGGAAAGTTGCAAGCACCCCACGTCATCCTTTGGATGAGTTTGGACTGGGCTGACTGAATCTGACACCACGACCGCGACAGCGACCCCTTCTGTCAACGAGCCTGCAGAAACCCGGCATTGATGCTGCTGTCATCCATGACTTGCACTTCCAACACCAAGCGCGAAACATCAGCCACATTGTCCAAACGGAATGCCGTCCTCGGCATCTCGTCCGTCTCGGAGATAATCTTCCATTTCCCCCCGGGAAGATCCACCAAAAGTCGGATGAATCGAGCCAGTGATGCATGTTTCTCCTCAAACGTCTTGCGCATCACAATAGTCAACGACTTCGCAGTGAGGCTGGCCTGGCAGAACACACATCTGCTTTTCAGCGCACGTTCTGTCTCAGAGGTCTCCCAGCGCTCCCTAGCCATGAAGCCACGACCCAAAGCCACGACCGCGAGCACCACCTTCAACTTCATGCTGCATCTTGGCTGAAACTCACTGGCATTAAATTTTAAAGGTTTAGGGGCTTCAGGGTTTAGGGCGACGGGGGGTGAACTAACAGCAGCCGAGGCACTGAGTGTAGTTGACATCGGAGAGGTGGTCAACGACCGCGACCGCACAGTTCTTGACACTGTCCAGCAAGGTTCTACCGGACCATGTGGCGCGAGGCCGCAAGACCTTGGTTCGGTGAAGGGGCGCCACTGCCACCTCACAGATATCGACCGCCACCAGCTTTCCGGCGCCCAGGCTGCATTGCAGAGTGCTTCTCTGGAAAATTTTACCCGGGCGCTGCGGGCCTCGACAGGGGGTCACTAACTCCATTCATTAAAATTAATTAGTAGTACGACATGTGACATTACAATATAGCTCACAGTGACAGCACAGTCAGGCAACACAACACAAGAAGATTGTCAAATAATTTTAGCAACGACAGGCCTGCAGGGAATGGGTCGAGACCATTTCGGGCTGCAGCAGAGGACTCCTTGTTCTTGGCTTTGATGTCAGCTGTTCGTTTTCGATAGTTTGCCACGTCCTCATTGTAAAGCCTGTGGTTTTCCAGGCTCCTGCTGGACAAGGTAGTTGCAAACGTCGACCGCGGCCTCGACAGCAGTTGCTTGTCTGTCGTCTTGCCCGCCACTATGGCATCTCGCAGCTTCTGCTGGGCAGATATCAGGTGCGCTTCTGATCCGGCCTGGTGGCCTCTCAAGATTCCTTTGTCCGATCTGGTCTTATAGACATGGAACCTCCTGCCGAAGTAAGCCACCCAGGAAGCACAAAGTTCTCTCGAAGCGTCGTTGAGCAGTAACATGGGTTGAGACTGCGACAGCATAGGCAGCAGCTTGCCCGAAAGATCAATGGATGTCTCGTTGGAAGGAACCTTGCGCACAAACAAGTCCTCGCCCGCTGGGCCATCTAAGATGATTTCCAAGGATCGCTGCAAGTCCAACACGCTCTCGGAAGAGTGGGTGTCACTGAGATGCTTCAGTCTTCCAAGGTTTCGTTCGAGCTCACAGGTGCCGGCATCAATGGACAGGTAGAAGGCAACCAGAACCTTCAGGCGGCGCCACCCATCGCAAGCGCAAACCTCGGCCCAGATCTGCCTGTTGTCAACTAAGTCGTGGCGGCTCGACGACGACCTCGACGCTTGCAAGCGTTCACGATGCTTTTCGCAAAGCATCTGCCTTGTAGCCGATACTGTCAAAATTAAAAACATAAACAATGACAAGTAACGAAAGCACCTGGACTTCTGCCCTGGCCCCAACAGCTATTGACACTGGATACGGCTACTGGAAATGACAAGTTGCGCAGCATCTTCGAACTCCTGGACTCCGCAGGCACAGTCTTGGCCGTTAAATTTCATAAGGCGAAACCACATGATCGTTTTTCGCACAACAGAATTTTTCTGCGACGACGACCGCGAACGGATGTCCAGCCAGTGCTCGGCCAAATCAAAGATGTCCAGGCTCATCCTCAAATCGCTCTCCGGCAGTTCTGCATCTATGCGCTCTTGAAAAAGGGTGACCGCGACCTGGATCGTTTGCACGGCGTCCTTGATCTCTGTGTCCGCTGATGCGCTGCCCTTTGGCCAAACATGGTAGACTTTGGACCCCACTTGCACCGGAGGGCTACTCATGCCGTTCCTGACGGCCAAAGCAACACCTGAGGAGAAGTGTCTGTAAAGCACGCAACACATAACAACCCATAAAGTTTCAGGGTTTAGGGTTTAGGGTTTAGGCAAATTTAAAAGTCCGCATGACCTACATGGCTCTGATGAGTCACTCTCTGAAGCTAGTATTACTGGCAATTTCAAACTGTTGCAGTGCTTCCCGGCAAGGCACAAGACTGCATACCTTCATCTATGTCATCACTGTCGTCGATGTCTTCGAGGATACCGCAGTCTAAGAAGAGTTTCTGCAGGCGGCTGTTAAACTGGGCGATGAGCCTGGGTAGCAAAGCAACATCAATGTCCTTCTCAAAATGCCTCAAGAACGACATGATCTCTGCCATGTAGTCTGCACAAAGGCCAATCGTCACCAGCAGCCCCGGCCGTAAAGCTCGGAGAGTCTCATGACACCGCGACCGCACACACGCCTCCGACCGCGAGTCGGCTGCCACCATGGCCAGCAGGAGGGCGATTGGCAGAACCAAGAAGCAGAATCTTCCTTAAAGAGAGCAGGTCGGAATAAGTCCCTTAGGTTTACATTATGCCCCAACTGGCCAACCCGCACTGTTAGAACTAACAATTTGCCGAAGAGACTGGCTAGAATTTAAACTCGAAAAAACAATGACAAGCATCGGTGAGGCACCGCACTCGATTCCCAACGCTGTTGCGCCCAGCCGAAATGTCGCAATGGAGTTTTCAAGACACCGCCCAATAGGCCGTCCTGCAGCAGTTTCTTAGAAAGCGTTGCAAGCTTCGCCCTCCATTCGCTCGAGTGTTGCAGCATAGGCAATGGTCCTTTTGCTCCGAACAGAGCTTGCCAGGCTTCGGAATATGCCGGCATGTTGTCGAGCGGGTTCTGCGCAGCCAGGCGGATGCAGTGCGCAGCGTCGCGCCAGACCACGACCACGTTCACGCAAAACTTCTTGATCAACCTTCCGACCTTCTGAGCATAGGCTGCGCCGTCTGCGGAGAAGGACTTGACGGCATTGCAGATTCGATGAAAAAGAGAATCATCATGCGAACGCTGTCCGAAGCGTGTGCACAGCTCACGAATGCCTGCAGCAATGGAGTCTGCGGCAAGCTGACTCTTGTCAGCATCCCATAGCTCCGGATCATCCTCTAGCATCTTGGAGGGCTTGATGAGGCACATAATACCGGAGGCGACCTCGCCCGCGAGATTGGCCGCCTTGAACCTGACCAACCTGAAGGGGGACTTGTCGTCCACTGTTAAAGCAATGGAAGATGCATCGGCCAACAGCTTGCGTTTGCGGTCGCGAATGGATTCCTGAAGAAGGGTCTGCATCTGAGCGATCGCACGATCTGTGACGGCA